TTTCCCCCCCCCCCCCCCCCCTTATCATTATCATTACATAACTAAGGTTTTTGGTTGCAGGAAAAGTGAATCAGGGTTACGGTAATATTTCAGATTTTACATCAGCCTTTTAGTTTCTTCAAGGCCTTGAGAAGTGATCAAATAACTGTTACTGCCTTCATCACATGTCATTACTGAATCTGAAGGACTGGTCCATCCATTAGCACTTCTCAAATAACTAACCAAAGCATAACTTTAATTTTGACAGGAGAAATCAACTATTAGTGTGTATAAGTTAGAGAAATGCAAGATGATCATTATTTTTGGGATTAGAGAGTCATTTGAGTACTTATTTTATAAAACTTTACACTGTTACAATAAATCTGCAAAAGTCTTAAGAATGTAGAATTAAAAATCAAATTATGTGTTTATTGTAATGAGCCTTATGTTTTGATGCAGTACTTCACTTTATTTTGTAATTTAATTATTTTATTTATGCAAATAAGGCCCAGAATGCTATTGCACTCAAGAAGTTAAACACTTGACATTTTTACTCCTTAAAATGCAACATTTTATGATGTCTAGATATGTTTATTAATTAGTGATTATTAACACCCAGTAAACAACATCATGTCTTGTAAAAACACAATCTTTCTTCACAGCGTGAGGCTGAAATCTATTATTCACTGATTCCATATGCTGAAATACACTCAAATGATCACAAATGACCTTAAGCATTAGATAAATGTAAATGAGGACAGGGTAGAAAATGTGCTTTTGATTGATATCTAAAAGACCAGGTTTGAAGTCTTGACAAGGGATGAAATCTGAAATCTCATACAAAGTAGACGGCAATTGGCAATCTACAAAATCTAAGCTTCTGGATGGACGTACCACACAGCCTCTCCTCAGCAGGGATGAGTGTCTGAGGCTGCTCACAAGAAGTCTTCAGCACATGGAACCTGAAAGACCATTCCTGGGGCCTGCATGGCCTTTGTCTACTTGGCAGGCACTTATTAGGATGCAGAGATATATCTCTAAGTTATATGCACGTACACCCTAATGAAGGCAGAATTTTTCTAACCCTAAGTGCTCACTTAAAAGAACTTCTCTATGCAGAATGGCTACATAAGCATAGGGAGAAATGATGTGAATGATAGCCATTAAAATTGTATGGGTTTAACCCTCTATGTTAATAAGCTTATTCTGCTGTAACAGCTTGCCTTTCTCAGCCCTTTTTCAGCTTTACTTTTGTCACTTTGAGAAGGACTGAGAGCCCTTCTGGAATGAGAATCATAAAAAAGAAAAAAAAGGATTTAGACACACAAATAAGAGTGCACTATTTGCTCTTAGGTAGCAAATAGCACATTCTAATACTTAACCCTATATGACGAATATGAAGTACTTTACAATTTACTTTTAAAATACTAGAAGAGATAGACACACTTCAAGTTTTCAGCTGCTTCCAGTCCCTACTGCACCTGGAGATGCCTCAGTGAAATAGGTAGTTAAACAGCTAACCTCAGTGGCATAACCTGTTACAAGGTGCGTCAGGAAGGGCTCTGGAGATGATCTGAAACCAAATACTCTGAACCTCTACAACAATCAGCCTCCAGAGCATATCATAGAATCATAGAGTCGTTAAGGTTGGAAAAGACCCTTAAGATCATCGAGTCCAACTGTTAACCTGTCACTACTAAGTCCACCACCATCTTCAGGGCTAACTTAGAGACAACAGAGCTGGTGCACTGTGAGAAAAATGCTGGGTACGCCCTGCACCTTAGGACATAGTCAATGAGAGAAGGGCCCCAGCACATTGTGCCTGGCTCCCATGCTCCCCATCTGTCCTTGCAGCGACAACGCGATACTGATTGCACATACAGGATGACCAAAAAACCTGCCATGGATGCTCCGACAACATCTACCTCAGGGGCAAATGGGATTTGTTGCCACCCTGAATTCTCAGAGCTATTTAAAATGAAACCTGCAAGTGATTTAGGTACATTCATTCCAAGCCTCATATTTAGTACAATGGGTAATGTTGACTCTGAAGCAGCCAAATTTCAACCATGCACTAAACCACAGCTTGAAGAGACATAGTGTACGTTAAAAAAAAGAAAAGGAAAGAGGTTACATCACCAAGATTAATCATACTGTATTTGCTATGTTAAAAAGCAATTAAATTTTTTTAATACTTCCAAATTTCTGTCTTGCATCACTTACCTACTTATATTGTATATACATCTGTGTCAGCATCAGTAATATAGGTCACACTTTCACACTTTTGCATACATTTCACATTTGCATTAAATATACAATTACATGCAAGAATCAGTAAAACAGTTTAGTAGAATCTTACCAGCTTGACACTTTCTGAGCCTTAAATACTCCTGCATTTTGGTTTCTTGTGATGATCTCACTTACATCTGTAGCATATTTGTTAAGAATTATCTATAAAACTAGAGCAGTAATAAAAATAATTTAAAAAATACTTTTTTCCATTGTTACTACCTTCATAATGTCTTTTATCTGTTTGGTCTTCTTTAATCTGTGCTAATAGTCTTTTCAGAAGCATAACTTTTACATTGCTACTCCAGCACATCAGCCATAAATCTATGCAGCAACTTGCTCTTGTTGCCTGCCTCTATTGACTGGATCATTAGATCACAGTGCTGAGGTTTTGGAGGCTTATGCGTTTTGAGTTTCTGCCCTGCCACAAGACATGTACCTTTGTTCCTGGCTCTGTCTGGGTGGAATCCAACAGACAACAGGAGCACCTTAACCTATAGGCAAGGGAGTTTCTAGTCCATTTGCTTTCTTGAGAATGGTTTGGAACCACCATAAAAGTTAGTACAAAGCAATAAACACCTTTTCTTCCCCATAGGCACTGCCACAGTGGCCTCAGCCTCATGTCTCAATGCCTCAGCCTCATCTCTCGGCATCTTTCAGTTTAGAAGATCAGGTCACAAAATTGGGTAGCCATTCAGGCAGGCCAAAGCAAAGGCTGTCAATGAAAAGTTTCAAGGGAAGCTGTGCTCAGTCATCTATGCCTAGAAAGATAACCTTCATAATCAATCATTTGTGGTTAGTGAGAAGCCATAGGAAGGAAAAGGTGTAGCAAGTAACCAAGGAACTATGAGAATACTAAATGGCACCCAGTGTGAATCCATACATATTTGAACAATTTACTCTCAAATTTAAAGATTATCTTAAAGGGACAATTTTGATAAAGATGTCAATGATCACTCTTTTTATTTAAGGTACAGGAAATCTGATGCTAATTAGGAGGATGTTTCTAGGTGCACAAAAATATGTTGAATTCATCTTTGCAAGTGCTCTTACAAGAAAATTGAACACAGTGTCAGACTAATTTAGAATATCACTAACGTATCTTTTTATTTGCTTTGCTGAAATCACATAATTGTCCTTCCAACACAGTTGGCTATTCAAGAAAAGTTATTTTAGGAAAGCCTCTATTCAAACAATGAGAAAGAAAAGACAACTGATATTTTGTGAAGCCAAAAACTAGAAGTGGAATGACAGAAAACTGTTTTAAACAAATCTCTGTAGTTTGGACATTCCTTTTAAATCTTTTCCACAACATGCAATGAGAAAGTAATGAGTGGTCTATGCCGGTGAAGCAAAAGGAAGGCATAAATAATTCCATGAGCAAAGTATGCTGTTTTTAAGTAGAGGCAGAAGTAACATTGTTATAAATTAGCTACACTGCACTTAAATTATACAACTGAACAAAGCTATTAATAATTGTTGTAAACATGTTAACACTAGCTTTTTTAAATAATTTATAAGCCCATGTCTTCCGGCATTCAGGCTGAACATGACCTTTCTAACCTAAATTTCCCAGGGCTGTTGAAAGATCCATACACTATATTTTAATGGCCATTATAGTGCACTGCAACAATGTTTTGTATTATTGATGCTTTCAGACAGTAGTTCAAGTCACTACTGCATGGTGTGAAACAGAGCTAAGGCAGAAGGTACACAACCTCTCTGAAATAGGAGACAATTCTTACTAAAAATGAACCTCATCCTTGGATTTGGACATGTTGAACCAAGTATAGATGCTACCAGTGTCCTGGGGAAATAGAATTTGATGTTCATGACTGACTATGTCATAGATAAGTTGGAAAATTTGTATCTGAATGCATATCACCCAAAATTACAAAGGGGGTGTGTGTGTGGTGAATCTGATAACTTTGCTTATATATATCTTTATTATTAACTTGAAATATCTATATTTTTCTTTTTAATACTTTATTCAAATGATCCTGAAAGAACTTAGATAAAGCACACTAAACCAACAATAAAGTTTTGAATGAAGCTGCAAAAGCAATAAAATCTGTCTTTATTTTATTGATTTTGCAATATAAATAATCTGTTAATCAATTAAAATCTGCCCATGATAAGCAAAAGGAGTGAGAGTGAAGTCTTTTAAATGGACTAGTAACTCAAATCATAATATCCTTTTAAAGACTTCCATAAACCTCATGCGTAAGACCATTGATTAATATAAAATATAGCTAGATATTTCACAGTGAAATGGTTAAAATGACAACAATGATTTGAAATAAACATATTTGTAAATTGTTTTAACTTGTAAAATTTCAATAACATATCCTAATACAGATATTGAAAATATACATAGTGAATACTTTGTGTGGCTGTATGAAATGGAGAATAATATGAAGAAGGTAAAAAATTAAAAGAAAAATCAAATCCTCAAAAGCTTGAGACTTCACAAAGCAAAGCTGTTAGTTATGCTCACTGAATAGCGATAACAACAACAAAACCAACAATAATTATGATGATGATGATAATATAAAGGCAGATTCTCAGATGCAATGCACTATTGCCAGGTCGATTTTCAATTACATTTCACTGATGTATTCATTTGTTTCTTAATGTGCTCATCTTGCCCATTAAGAATAATTAGCAGGCTTGCTTGGTGATTTCCTGGCTTCTGACAGTGATTTTTTTTTCTTTTTTGTTGACAACCACTTTTACTTTTTGGAAAGTAATTTTTGGATATTATAGTATGACTGGCATGTAATTTAAGCTTCCTAAGAAATTTAAAGGGAAGATGTAAACAGTAATTTTTAAACAAGATTATTTTAATCTATAATACCTACATAAAAAGCATAATACTAGGCATTAACTATTCCTGAAGAGCAGAATCTAGAAAAGAAAACAGTATTTTATCCCACATTAATTTAATTTGGTGTGCTAAGCAATTAAAAAATACCACGAGCAATAATAAAAATTAGCAGAAATACATCATTTGTAGTCTGTGGCACTTGGGGCCGGATACTATTTCCAATTACACTAAACATTCTTACTGATTTCAGTAAGTCTGGTGTGGCTGAAACAGATCTAAATTTAGCCTAAACTTCTGTTATAGCTAGTCACTATAGAAAAGAATGCAAAAGAAAATTACCATAAGACAGATCATAAAATTACTACTTAAGTCCATAAAACACATAAAATGCAACATAAATTTTATTATGTGCACTTTTAAGAATACATTCCACCTACACTGTAAAGTTCTTAGTCTGCTGCACTTTGGCACCCTGCTAATATTAAGCCCATTGTAAAATCCAACACAATAAAAGCACTTTGAATGCTGAGCCTTCAGAGCACCAAATGTTAAAAAAGAAAAATAAATTCCTGTTAGAGCCTTCCACCAATCGCTTCTCTGAAAGGGATTCACTGAGTGAATACAGATGAAGACTTCTTGTAATACTTTGGGAAATAAAAGATACTTCTAAAACATATTGTGAAAAACTAAGGTGTGCTAATTAGATTACATTAACAGTATCTTTTTTTCAGGAATAAAAGCACTTTAATTTGTTTAACTCCAAAGACTGAGTGAATACTTTTAGCACTCACTAATTTTCCTTGCTAGAGAAGACTTCTAAATTTCAAAAAAGTTCAGGTATGTTTATGGAATCTGCTATGCAAGATATTTGCTGACTTGATGATTACTGAGCTCACCTGAAACTTTCTGTGGGTAAAATGACCTTTTGTTAAATACCTACGCTTCTCTAAAACATCAGTTTGTTTTGTTAGGCTAGTTTTGAAACACTTTGTTTCTCCCACATTTTTTATTTTCGTAATGACATAGAAGAAAGATTGGAAGGGGTGATGCTGATTAAAATACACAGAATAATGAATACTTCCTCCTCGAGACATGAGTATAACAGACTAGAATTTAACAAAATAAGAATCCCTAGAACACAACTGAGAACTTGCATTTTCAAGAAAATTGAGACTTTTAAAAGGCTTCCTTCAAGTTTTAAAAGATATGATCTAAGATTGGCTGTTTTTTCCAGGAAATTGTTTAAGTGTAATCAATTATAGTTCTCCCAGTTACCTCTGAGAAAGTCTTTTTAAAGGTAGTAGCTAATATTATTGCACTGCAACGTCTCCTGTTTTAACAGTCATCAGCAACTGCAATTTTTTAAAACCACAAATTAGTTTAACTTATTTTTTTCACTAAGTACTCATTATGTTAGCTCTCAAATACATACAAAACTCAAATCTAAATAATTCTGATGATGCAGTGGCCAAAGCCTGAAAAACTAGTCTGCCTTAAAATGTAAGTGGAAAGATTACCAAGGAACAAAAGCAAATAGATATCTTCCTTTTTTTCCTCTCGATTTCTAAGGGCTATTAGTATTCACTGTATATATCGGTTCTTGTTCTGTGCTGATATTTAATGTGGCCACAAATTATGTTCACTCATTCTCTTGCTTAGCCAAAGTCCAGTTCAATTTTCTGAACTATGTGTTCATATGAGAAGGGCATAATAGCAATTTATTCTAATATAAGAAATATAATAAAATACTTTCTACAAGGCACAGAGGAGTTTTGCAACCTTACATCAAGAGAAATAATGATAAATTGATAATTGATTAAGCACACTAAGTGGGTAATTTGTAGGCAGTTATAACTTAGCAGCAACAATGAAACCATGCATTTACACTGGAAAAGCTATGACAACATACAAATACTGGGTATGTTTTAAGAGGCTGGTATCTGAAAGTAAAAAAAAAAAATCTAGTTCTTCTGCAAAACAAATACGTGAAGGGGAGCTAATGATTTGATTTACTGCTGCACCTCCTATAACGGGCAGCATACACACAAGGAATCTTTCAGCACTCAACCATAAGACAAATATTTACTACTATACTTGTTCTATACCAACATGTATGTTTTTAATTAAAGAAGAAAATGTGGCATTTATTGTGGGGGAAGCTGTAGCTCTGTACAAGGTATTCTACATCTGTTTTTTAATTACTTATGTGGGGACTTTTTCTTAATATACCCCATGCTGTCTGTCTTTATATCGATTGTTACTCAGCCAGTAAAAAGGAACGAGCACAACAAACCAGTTTTCTATCTGAATAAGGATACTTTTGATGGCCTTTTCATTTCCATCAGTTAACAGAACTTCTTTGACATCTGCAGAAATAGCAACCTGAAAAAAAGAGCACAGCAAACAATGAGCAAATATGCTTGTCTGTGTGGAAGTGAAGACAGGAGTGACAAGCCTTCAGTATCATGCTTCCTCACCTATTTCTCTGTAACAATCTTCAATCTTTTTTCATTTTATGTCTGCATTATTTTAATCATTCAATCAAATCAGTCAATACTTTTATCATTCCATTTGCGGGAGCCTCTATCTTGCTATCATTCTGTTCCGTAATTGCATTGTGACAGCGGATGATGGTATTCTGAGAGGCTTTCATTTGCGGGCTTCTGTTTATCTAGTAGAGCCATCATACAAGGCTGTCACTCTGCCTTTCAGCTTGCTTCTGTCTGACTGCCTGATGCCCTTCATATAACTTTGCATTGCAGGCAGATGGCTTTGTAAGGGTAATTTTTTTGTGAGCTTTGACATGCTCGCACATTGGGCTGTAACCTCGACACATTGTATAAGAGCGACAGGTTTGTCAAATGCCAATCAGTGTAACAATATGCTTTTATTTGTAGAGACATAAAAACTTGTCTAATGCACTGCACTGCTACATAATATCTCCTGAATACATGACTCAGAACCCAGAGAATGGTGAACGACTCTCCTGAATGGCCAATCTAATTCAAAAGAATCTAATTACCGAGAGCTCTGGATCATGTTTGTTGGTGTAATAATGCAGGCAAAACATTAGCAGCTATATCATGGTGCTCCAACTGTGATTCGCCAGGCTATTCCTGTATCTTAGCAAATGGGACTATAATCTGAAAAAAAAAAAAAGCTTCGGCTATGGCAATGAAAGACAGACCGTACGTGGCCTGGAATATCACAACAAGAGATATTGACTACACGGAGGTAAAATGTTTCTGCTCATCGAGGCAACCATAAAATCAATATGATACGAAAGCAAGTCAATCTAGAAGGTCTCTCAAGACTCTGCAGCTTGACCGCAGCTGAGGCTGTTGACAGTTCTCTGACCCAGCAGTTGGAGGCACTGGAACATTTTTCCTTTTGTTTCTTCCTCTGAATGGGATTGGAATTGAGAAAAGACCTACCATGAGCCCAGCCAAGCATGTCATGCCACCCCCTAGCTCACACACAGCAAGGTCCCTGAAAGAGAGAAAGGAAATGGTAGAACCCATACAAATTAGATGAAAATGGTCAGAGAGACATATATGTTACAAGAACAAATTGCCATCTGCAGTAAGAACTGAGCTACCAGGAAGTTGTAGAGACATGACTAGGCTACCTCATGTCATTTTGCGTTTTAAAAATAATTATGAAATAGAAAAGTCACAAAGCAGGCAAATCAGTGGGGGTTCCCTCATTAGTGTTCAGTGCAACATTACCACCGCTGAGCTGAAAAATCTGAGAAGGTTCCCTTTTTTCCCTTGTCAATGGCTCTGTCTTTTAGAACTAAACTAGCTAGAGTAGCGAAAGATAATTGTTAGGAAAGGATAACAATGTTAATCCACATTCATTCTTGCAAAAACAGTTAGAGAAGTAAATGGGGAAATTAATATTATTTATATATCTCTCCATATAGTTATGCCTAAAAGCCTTTTTATATTAAAAAGGGAGAAGTTTTAAAACAAGCCATATACCACAAAACAATTACACATGAAGAAATCCGATCCTTCAATTAGCACTTAAAACTGCAAGTGACCTACAAACAATGCTGTTATGAACAACGATGGGAACAGCAAACAGTTAAGCCACAGAAAACTAAACGAAGTTAGTGTCAAGAGCCCAAACTGAGCCTGAGCAGAGGGTTGAATACATGGTCTAAAAGGCTGCTTTTAACTTAGACCATACTGCGCTGTTATTAAGACGTGCATGTGAAATATAATTTGGCGCAGAGAGCGTGCTGGATGGGAGCTTGCAGGGGGAGCCATGAAGAATGTCCTCCAGAGCCACGGCCTGCCCCAGGAGGGGAGGAGGGAGGGATGCTGACCCTGCGCCGAAACTGCGTGAAGCGGCGTCTAGGGCAAGGCAGAGCCTCAGTTTAGGAACACGCTGCTTTATAGCTAAATCTGCGGCAACTGTTACAGATGGCAGAAATGTTCCCACTGAGACATTTTTGACAGACAGAAAATGGAATTTCAGCTAAACAGATTTTTTTTTGGTGCACCTTTACTTCTCCCCTAAAATACTAACATTTGAAAATTTATTTTTATGTGAAAGTATTACCTCCCTACTCATTCGACACTGATATTTAGGAAGAGCATCTAGGATGCCATATCAGTATCTGTATACAGATGCTGATATTTTGTTCACTGAGGCCAGTGGACTAGGCTGCATGACTGTATACTAATGCTCGCTGTCTGGATGGGATAGATTTATTTTTCTTAGACTCCACAAATTTTATTTGAAAAAAGTCTGGTTGTCCTATTTAATGGAAATGAGACAAAGGACAGACATAGTTCAGAGGAACAAGCTGTACATAAACCCAAGGAGACTATAACACAGATGTGGGAAATTTGCAGTTTGTGGTTTAAATAGAATGATTATAGGTTTTTCCTCACATAAATTTTTATTTTTCTAAACCATATATGTCATATATATTAGAAGTATATACATATGGTTATATATATAAGATTTACAAGGCACTTAATCCTTTATGAGAGTCATGCTTATTGAAATAAACACAGAAAGTATCTAGCATGGGGGTTTTAGTGCATTTTGAACCAAATTTGCATGTACATAATATATAAGTATATGCATCCACACATATACATGTATATATTTATGCATATAAACAATTTATTTCAGTGCAAAGTTCCCTTATTAGCAAATTTAAAAAATCATATCCGTCTCTCAGGCAATATTTAGTGACATTTATCAATGAGAACTGAAATAAGAAACTCTACTCTGAGCATACTGTTGAGGGGGCATAATCCTCAGAAATCAGGATGTCAAACTGCCCATTTCCTCTATGGAAGTTTGATTGAGCTCTGTCTCCAAGTATCCAGGCTTCCATACCCAAACTAGGAAAATACCTTTTTAGTGAGCAGCACAGGGAGGTTTGCTGTGAAGAGCCTCCAAGAACAAGCAGAGCACACGAGCCACGGCATGGGGCTGGGTGGCAAAGTGCTACAGGGACACCACTACAGCAGCAAAAGTCACACAATGCAGCGCCCAGCTAAACTCGGAGGAAGGAGAAGCAGCTGCCAGATTAGGTGTGTTAGCTGCCTCCTCTGATGGGGTGGGCTTCATTCAGGTGGCAGACCGAGTAAAAGTGAGGCTTTACGAACCAGGGCTTGCTTTGGTGCCAGGTCTTTGATTTCAGATAGCAGTCTGAGCAAGCTGCAGGAACCAGCCCACAGCTGATATGCTTTCAGCTTTGGTACAAGGGGCAGAGACTTACAGCTAGGTCTTCCCTATTTTACCAACACCATATGTACACAGACTGAGGGATTTTGTATACTCCGAGATGGTTTACTTGGTATTAGCCTTGCACCCTCACTCAGAACACAATTTATGCCTCCAAATGCATTGTTATAATGGCTTTTCTTGCACCCCATTCATCTTCTGGACAATGAAACTTCAAGGATTTCCAAGTGCAGAGCCTGTATACTCAAGAGGAAAGAGAGAGGATGCAGGGGATTTGTAGGTGTTCCTATTGGAGCCTTGATAACTGTCTTATACCAGTTTAGAAAATGTGAAAAAACAAAAACAAATAAAAGTGCAGGATGTCTCAAAATTGTTTCACAACACTTAAACACAGGTGCAAATTCCTCCATCACTATATGCAGTGATTATTATGCATTTTATCAGGTAATATTTTGCTTGCTTTTGCAACAGATGTCAGTTTAAAGAATGTCTTTTATTTTTCCTGACCTTCACAATCAGTACTGATCGATTGGAGCTTCACTTTTGTTTCCCAAAAATCAAAGTGAAATAAAACGCCTTGAGTGGAAATCAAAAGTCTTTGACATATAGCAGAAAGCTTGCTGTGCAATATTAGTACCCAAAGGCAGCTCAGAATTCTTTGTTAAGAGCAACATGCTTTCACCTTGAACATTTTAAATTTAATCTGAAGACTTAAATCATAGCAATCTTTACCATGCAGATACAATAAAACTAACAGATTGGAAAATATCTTTTTATGTTTAACTCTGTACCTGAATATTTCATTGTGCTTTAGGCAGTAGTAAGCCAGCACTTCTTCAGATGGCCAGACACCTATAAAACAAAGATATTTGCTTTCTTAGAACAGATTTTTTTTTTGTCTAAGATAATATTTGAATATATATTACCATTTGCAGACCTCTACCAACTGTTTCATTTTCTAAATTTTCCATAATACCATGGAATAAAGAAACAAGTAAGACTTATAATGGAAGACTTCTGATTTAAGCATTGGAACTGAATATTTCATAGATTTCATCCCGACTAATGATCAGAAATTTACTTTATAGATACACGCACACACACATAAACATACACATATATCCAGACATATACATATAATTGTCAAGACTTTAAAAGTTATATAAAATTTAATTCTATGAAACTTCTGATATTTGGGCATTCACATGAACATCAAACTGTTTGTACCAGGCCAGATGTGAGGCCTACCTTGCCTTGTAGCCTGTTTCTAACAGTGGACAGGAGCCCCCTCCTCTTTCATTAGCTGTCCTCTACAGTCATTTCATTTCTTCCCAGTTTCTTTTTATTTAGCTCCTTTTCTCATAGGTTTTGTTACGTCAGGCATCAGTCTGACTGTAAGGGACACTGACCAGCAACACATACTAAGGACAAATACAGGACTAGGGCAATAACACAGCATGATTTCTAGTTGTGGCTCAACAAGTTCCTGAGGAGCAGAGGAGATACAAGTGATAAGTTCTGTTTAATAGCCACCAAAGGATTTTTCTAGTTGTTCTGTGGACTGCGGTAAACTGTCCATAGCTGCAATGGCCCATGGCAGGAGGTGCCACAGTTTTACTGTGCTGTATAAAGAAACATCTCCTCTCTCCTGTTTTGTACTTGCCTCCCTGCCATTTTCACCCTCTAGAGGCCCTCTAGTTCTCCTATGGGAATAGACAGGACCAATCACGCTTTTTTCACCTCATCTGTATTATTCACGACTTTATAAGCTTCCATCATAAAACGTACACTGGTCATTGTCAACCTTGGCAAGTACTTGGAGGCGTCCATGCAAATTTACCCCTTCAACACCATTTGCCCATGAAACTCGCTGTTTCGTCAGACCAGTTTCCCACCTCACTTGAACACCAAACTGAAGCGCGGTGGCCCACGGAGAGGGCAGCACAGATCCTGTGTGGCTTGCACACTCTCCTGCAGGCACCAGTCTCCACTGCTGGAGGGAGCCTGGGGAAAGCACACTCGTGTTCAGGCACTTGAGTCATGTTCCCAAAGTTAAGGGAGGATGAATCAAAGGCATATGCGGCCAAATTATGATTGTATGTGTTTTCCATCTGTTGTTGCTTAGCAATGAAAAGACACACTTACATGTCTATCCACAGGTAAAAACCAGGGTTAGCCCCCCCCCCAGCACACAGCATTAAGAATTAATGTGACAGAAACTTGATATTATGAACTACAGACACTTCAATGGTTTCAGTAAACTTAAAAACAGACATGTGGGAGCATCCTTTACGTATTTCTAGACAGGTAAACTGAATTCCATGCAGCTTACTATGTATGTGCATCCTTTAGACCATTTTTTATAATTTTTTAATCTTGAGATTTAAAAACTTCACAACATATTTAATAGAAGCAGAAGTTTGGGAGAAAAACCGTTTTCCTTTTAAATCACTTAGAGCCTGATTGTAACCATCAAATATATAATTCTTCCTTTCCATCCAGTAAGTATTCTGAACTACCCATACTCACAGTGATAAATAATGAAAATTTATGAATGTGTTGTCTGCATGCAGACCAAGCAAAAGCCTAGACAGGATTTGGCCAAAACTTTGCATATAACTTTTGTATGATAAAGATCTTAAAGGTAAAAAAAATAGAGTGATGATTCATACGTATGACAAAAACACTAATGCAATATTGGTATTTGTCCTGTTTATGACAGTTCAGGTTGATTAGGTGTTTGTGAATGTGCTATTTTGCTTAGACTTGCTAAGGGATAAAATAAAACTTTCACACATGACTACCCATTCTTCAGTGAAACATACACTAAGAATTGTACAGGATTTTCCGTCTCCCTTTTGAGCATTTCAATGATTTTGAGCATTGAAATATGCTAAAATGACAGATTTTGCAGTAAATATAATAACTGTTTAAATATTTTAGTGTATAATATAAAGAATGTTTCAGTTTGCCGTGACTGGTGTATACTCAAGCAATAAAAGTGCTTTTTTTAATATTTAGTGAAGACATGGCTAATTTAATACCATTTATAATACTTATATCTCACATTACAGAAAAAAATCCCACAAAAACCCTAAACCCTTTTACAGCAAACTTTTAGCCTGAGCAAGTTTTAAAAATACTTGTCAATTGCAGCAAAATCCTTCAACATCTGAGTTTTCAGTACCCTCAGTCAAATGTCTCTCACTTTTTTATGGTTATTATTGAAAGGGCACTTTGAATGGTGTCACTAAATCTTTTATGAGGGGTCACCGTTCTTTCCCCTGCTACCATTACAATGTTGATACCGGCTGAAACTGCAGGTGTATCAGATAGCTCTCTGCTGAGAGAAGGGTAAAGCACCTTTGGAAAGACAACGCTCTTCTTTAGGCAGATGCTAGCGGTGCGCACAACTCTCCTCCCCGCTCCCTTCCCCCCCAGGGAAGGAAGTGTCACCTCAGCAATGATATAAGTGGCTGGCAGCTAAAGAAGCAGGAGTCAGGAGGTCTTTGACGAACACAGGTCTCAAGTGTGGAAGCACGCAGTGCTTCCAGCTAAGCCTAGAAGGTAGAAGCCAGAATACCTGCGTTAATTTTAGTAAAAGGAAAAGCTTCTCGTGCTTGAACAGGTAGGTAAGCCTCTTTACCTCCAAAACAGGGATAAGCTTAAAGATCCATGTGGAGGAGTTTGCATTCTGTCTTCTTCCCCTTCACTCTGACCTACATTCACCAACACAATGACCTACATTTTGAAGTTGCAAGTATAAGATAGTTCTGCTTCTGTTAGAAAACGTACAGCTGTAATGCAAAAATGCAGCAATTCCTATGAGTTAACAACTACCACTAGGTTGTGAAAAGCATAATTTATTTTCTGCAAACACATACATATGGATATGGATTAAGTTTCCTGTGAACACACTTACAATAATTCTTTCATATTTAAAATAAAATTATTCTCATTTTGTGTTAGGAATTTGATTATAAATACATAACATCGGATGGGCACCTATTTGCATGTGCAATTACTTACACACGGTAGTCAATTATTTACACATACATGGGCAAAAGTATATCAAAAGGCCCCCAAATGGTGCTTGTATTTAAAAGGCTATAAATATACTACAAGTCCTAGACAGAGGAGCTAAAAAACTCACTGTACAAGGAAACAGAGAGAATCAAGAGTTTCTTTTTGCAAAAATAAATATTTTGTGACGTTTACTGGGGGTTTTAAAGCTCTTTATCACCTTGATAACTACAATGTGAAAACAGAGAATAGTTGCCACAAAACATCGGAATCTCTATTGAAACAAATAAAAAAATTAAGTTGTGTTGGTGTTTAAAGGATAGCCTCAAGAAGGACTGTGATTTGGCATGTCTGAAGACATGGGAGAAAGACAGTGCTCACAGAGCAATGCCTGCCCGGATTTCAACTCTTGGCAGGTACCCTTTCACCATCAGGATGGAGTAGGAGATCCACTACAAATGTGCCACAAGAGCAATGATGTCTACTTCCAGACAGCTTCAGGATACTTACTACAGTAGTAGGGGTAGAAAAACATTTTCACTATATAGTATGATGATGGATGGAGAAATGCTATATATGCAGAGACACACAAAATGCAGGCATTTCTACAGCACTTATCACCATATCATATTTTTGATGTAACCAAAAGAGACACCCAAACTTTTCCTATAAAGGAACAACACTAACAAAAATCACAATAATGTTAAGAACACATAAATTAAGTTGATTTTATTACTCTCATAGTGCTTGCTAATGGAAAGTGTCAGGTCCTTCTGCACTAGCTATGGCACAACAGTTCTTAGAAGCAACCTTCAACCCATGTGGACTAAATCATGTGTAGACAGCCTTCTGAGGATGTTTTGTTTTAACCATCAGGTGCAGCACCACTAGTCCAAAGAAACACAAAACCTGTGTTTCTTCTGCACCGAATCTAAAACCACTGAATCCTGTGTGATATTACAGAAAATTTTCTACTAGAAAGAAATCATCCAGTATTTAAAAAAAAATTAAAACTTATTGTTTCTCCTCTGTGGCTTTTTACCACATATTTTAAAGAATGCTGTCACGCATTTGGATAACAAATATTGAGATCTGATGTGAAGTTCTTAAAGAACAGCATGTTACTAGAAAATTCTCAGGATAGAGTGCTGAGAATTTTGAGATGTGTCTTTTTAAAGAAGACACTTGATTATTGGAGGCATTATGTCTCCGCACTGCTCCATAGGTACAAAGAAGCTGCAGTAGCGACTGCTTACTTTAACTGGGATAGTTCAAGCTCTGCTCTACTGTCTGCCAACGCTACACACAGGAAACAAAGGGGCAACTGCAGGTGACAGGTGAACCATCCCTTGAAGCTCTGAGTAGGAGGTATAAAGCTGTTCTACGACTCCTTCACTCATGCTAGGAGGTTAAGAGGTTCATTTCCAAGCTAAGCCAAACAGAAAGTTTTGTCACTTTTCCCCAGCATTTCACATGGCCACATGTACAGATGTCTGAGCTCAAAATTCAAATTTTGTCTTCTATTTGCACTATTAAACTATGAGATGTCTTCCTATTCATTTGAAGTTTCAAGTAAATTTTGCACAAATCCTATCTTAACCCTCAAAAACAATTTAAATTTGAAAAGTCAGTCATTTTCCCCAGATGAATATACTCAAAAAGATCTTTTTTTCTGCTATGTCCTGATTCTTGACTACATGAAATCACCTTATTTGCTTTAATACTCATCAAAGCAAGAGGAAAAAAGGCATTATGGGCAAAGAGATGAATAACATTTCAAAAGAAGTACAAACAATCGCACTGAGCAATAATGAATTGTTTTCTGATCG